ACCGGAGGTGGTAGTGGGTGGTGCCCGACTCGTTTAACCCTAGTTGACCTAATGAAACCCTAGTTTTGACCTAATGAAACCCTAACTGATCTAAAGACTTAGCTTTTGGGCCTAATTGCGTTGTGATTGGGTTGGAAACCCTAATTTTGGATATATGGGTTTTGGAGTGTCGGGACCCGCGTTTTGGATGACCGGATTGGGATTATGTATTAAGTCGACCACACTACATGATTGACCCAATAGATTGATGGACTTAATGGATTAAGTAGGAAACACTTAACCCTAATCGTCATTTTATGTGAAAACCCTAATCTTGCTTGGGCCTTAAGTTGGGCCTTTCTATTGGGTTTTGGTGATTTGGTTAATAATGGGTCATCCAAGAACAATCATATGGACTAAGAATATATGGATGGGCTTTAGGGTAAGGCCCATGTGAGGGTTTGGGCCCAATTTGGGAAATTGGGCCATAGATGAGCCATAACTGGGCCTTGAGGATTATGAGAGGTTGGACCATTGGAATGCCAAATGTTTGGACTGGACTAAATGGTTGGGCCTTAGGGTAAGACCATGTAGAGGTTTGAGCCCAATTTGGAAAATTGGGCCATATGTTGGGCTTTGATTCATAGTTTGACTCTTGGGCCTTTGGATTGGGCCTTTAGCTTGAATCAAGCTAAGATGGGGGTAAAGTAGTCTTTTACCCCAAGCATGGACTTATGGTTATGTGTTGGAACCCAATTATTAATTAGGTGTTATTTTGATGTTGACAGTTCGGGAATCTGTCATCCAACAGCCAGAGTTTTGTCTGCGGGACTTCAGCAGTACGGGATGAGTTACCTTCCAGTAGAAGTGGGTCTAAGGCACTAAGGCCGACCCACTAGTAAGAGTTATAGTAGATATAATTGTCTTTGTGATAATTATATGTTATGGCGCTATCTGTTATGTTTATGTGCTAGGATGTTATGATGTTATGTGATATGTGATAGTAGGGGTAGGATAGACCCCAGTACCGGTCGATAGGACCGAAGGGGTATGCCAGCACCCTGATAAGCTAGGAAGTATATGATTTATGTGTTTATGAGCTAGTATGATATGTGGTAGAAGTAGGGGTGAAATAGTTCCCGGTATCGGTCGAAAGTACCGAAGGGGTAGGCCAGCACCCTGATATGTTAGGCGAGGTACCGGTCGAAAGGGACGAAGGGGTAGGCCAGCACCCTGATATGCTAGGCGAGGTACCAGTCGACAGGACCGAAGGGGTAGGCCAACACCCTAGTATGCTAGGCTGTTACCGTTTGAAAGAGACCGAAGGGGTAGTCCAGTACCCGAATATGTTAAACAATATGTATATTGTATGGTATGTTGTATGATGCGGGAACTCACTAAGCTTCGTGCTTATGGTTTTCAGTTTTGGTTTCAGGTACTTCGTTTTCAAAGGAAATGAGTCGGCTCGATCACTCTATTGTTTTATGATAACATGTTTTGATTATTGACACTTTGGTTTTGACATGGGATGTTTTTATATTGTTGGTTTTATGAACTATTAAACTAAAAATGAAATTTTTGGTCTTAAATTTTGGGATGTTACAAGTTTGTATCAGAGCCCTGGTTCGAGGAATTCAGACACACTCCCGGGCGTGTCTGGACTCAAATCTGGGGTTTGAAAGATTTTTACAAGAAATTAATTTTCTAAAAATTAAAATAAAGAGTTTTGATAAAGAACAAGGAGTGTGATGCGTGCAATCAGTTGAGCTCAAGTAAGTTTTCCCTAAGACACCCATACATGTTATGTTATGTTATGTTATGAATTGAGAATATGTGAACTGCATGCTAGATTAGGGCTAAGGATCTAGGAATGATGCCTTATATGCCTATTATATGTGCTTGTAGACCCGCATGCTAGTACTGATCAGTCAGTGATAGGATGGTCTGTTTAGGTTATGCCTGATTGTATGAGCCTTTGAATTGCATATACAGATTCCTGATTAGAGGATATAATGGTTTGATTGGAGTATAATGGTTAGATTTCCATTGTCTGAATGTTGTTTGCTTTGTGCTTTGTGGGACTCTTAGTGATGTGAGTTAGCTACTAAGTGAATATGCTAAGTCACATGGGACACAAGCCGGATAATCTCAGAGTGATGGACTTGACCCTATTGCGCAGCTCTTGTCTGAGTCCAACCGTTCTAGGGATGGGTCTTTTACTCAAAGGATTATCTGATCTCTGTTGCATGTGGCTATATTCATGAGGTAGCTAGTTGACATTACTGGGAATCTTTCAGCAGCTGAGGATTGGGTGGGTTCGGGAACCTAGGAAAGCCTAGGATATGTTTCAGTGGGTTAGTAGTGAGGTTTAGTTAGACTTGGGCATCAGTTTGAGGAAGTGACTTGGAGGATTCAGGAGGATTGCTGAGGAAAGTATGGATAGGTGTGGAAGGTAGTATTGGGTCCATACTACTGAAAGCACAAGATCCATACTCGAATCAGTGAGAGTGTTAGAGAATCTGAGAAGCTTCGGGGAGGAGTTTGTGACCCGGTTTGGGGACAGAGGATGTTCCAACTGTTGCAACTCAGCTATTGGCAATTGATCTAGTGAGCGTGACAGGGTGTCAGACCCTGTAGGATGTGACTTCTAAGTCCGAGGATGCGGGATTGATTTGGAGCACTTTGAGAAGAGAGGGTCGTGCCAGGTGCATATATTCGAACTAATCATGATATCTCGTTTACTATTCTACCTTAATCATGTGACTTAATAAACCGATCGAAATTATGTTCTTTTTCTTCATTGTGTCTAAGAACCTAAAACATTAAAACTCATGACCATTTAATCAGCCCTACTAAAGTTTAAATGAAAACTAAAAGAATAAAAGATAAAAGAAGAACATGCAATAACTCAATCATGCTTTTCACAAATCATTCCATATAGTTTTTCAATTGAAGGACAAAACATTTGAGTTATATTCGTTAAAAAGTATTGATTTTTTACTTTCCCTATAAACTTCAATGATCTTTTTACAATAAAAAGATATATAATTGATCTTTTTGATTCCATAATTTAACTCAATTCATTGGTATTCCATTAAAACAAAATTAAGAGAAAATGACACCATATTTGTTTTGTTTAAAACTACGTCATTTAAAATGTTCTATACCTAAGCTTAGGTACATAACAACCACATATTCACTTTTCTCATATATATATATATATATATATATATATATATATATATATATATATATATATATATATATGGGACGGTTCACTTGAGATTAAAAAAAATAGAGATCTTGAGATTCAACCTCAGCAACATATTTCTTATTTGCCGCTTTAACGCTTCAGTGTACCGGCAGCAGTGGGGTATGCCTAATCATAAATGATTATACATATATCTCTGTTCACAGATTGAGTAATAATATATGATTATGACAGTTGGTAGCAGAAGATGTGGTGATGGCAGAGGTGGCAGTGGTATAAGTGACGGATGTGACAGTAGTGGAATCCGATGGTGTTAGAGGTGGTGGTAGTGGTGGTGGCGGTGGCGGTTGTGGTGGTGGGGATGGTGGCGGAGGAGAAAGGAACGGGCGGCACTATATAATCATTTATGATTATAACATGCATGTCGCGCCGGTACGCTGGAGGGTTAGTGCGGCAGATGTGAAATATGTGGCTGAGGTTGAATCTCAAGTTCTCTATTTTATTTTTAATATCAACGGAACCTACCTACCTCTCTCTCTCTCTCTCTCTCTCTCTCTCTATATATATATATATATATATATATATATATATATATATATATATATATATATATATATATATATATATATATATGTGTGTGTGTGTGTCAAATCTATCTCTAAAACATCGTTTTCGGACTTTGAAAATGACATCATCATAAATAAATACATGACATAGGTTTTTGAAGTTATGCTTTTAAGTATTAAATCTTATGATCGTTGGCATTATACATTTGGAAATAACATGTGGCATCATAGATTCGATAAACGTGCAATGATTTTCTTCTCAAATAAATAAAATGCTGTTTATTAAAGACGATATGCGTGAATTAGGAAACGAAAATCCACTGATTAATGAGGTGTTTTATTATCTACTAACAAACGATAAGATCGCGATAATGATAAATAAATACAAATACATGTCGTGAAGGCTCAAATAAGACTGCTATTGTTTTATGTGGAATTTATATTAAAAATAAAAAATATATAAAAATAAAAATAAATAATAAATAAATAAATAACATATGATAGCAGCCTTGTTTATGCCGGCAAAACCATATAGTGACAACTGACAACTAACAAAACCAGAATAAGTATACTTAAACCAACATCGACAACGAGCGTGTTTGGCAAAAGTAGTTGTTAGCTGGAAGCGGGTAGCGGTTAGCTGGTAGCGGGTAGCTGGTAGCGTGTAGCAAGTAGCTGGTAGTGGGAAGCTGTAGCTTTTATTTGTTATATGAATGTTTTGCAAAAGTAGCTGGAAGCTTTTGAAATATATAAAATTACATAAAAGGACACTTGATTAAAAATAAATAAATATATAAATATATTTTTAAGGGTAATTATGGAAATTGATTTCAAAAGCTCAGGAGCGTTTTGTTAAACGCTACATGAAGTAGCTTTTAGAATCGGAGCGTTTTGTTAAAACTAAAAGCTAAACGCTCATACTGCCAAACGAAACCTTTTGTTTAAATTAGAGCGTTTTATCAAAAGCTAAAAGCTAGAAGCTTCTAAACGCTTCCAAAAGCTCCGTGTCAAACACGCCCAACAACTAGTGAGATACTAGAACCTTACCGAATCATTTTAAAAACATTTAAACGCTATATGTTAACTTCACGAAATTCCAATAAGAATATTACGACATTAACATATAGCATAACTTATTTGTATGAATTATATTGCTACGAGTTCCATTACATAAAAGAGAGATATATGATATATGCTTATATGTACATAATTTATTGAAATTATGAAATATATTGTGTTACAAAACTTTAAAACAATAATTGTGTTTTCTTTCCAAAGATTATGATGGCTAAAAGAACAGGATCACTACATAACAAACATAACCCCACCACTTACATATACCTCCTTCCTCACTAGATCCTAACCTCTAACTCAAAACCAAAAAGGTAAATACTTTTTACAGAATCAAAAATACTATATCTAGAATAACATACAACTCCCAATGCATAATTGCACAACTCACTATTGTATGGCTACTCTGGATTTAGAGATTCCTGATCTGGCAAGATAATTTATCTTAATGACACCCTCTTAAACCCAATATAACTATAATTAAGAAATGATTTACATTAATTAAAAAAACTGGAAATTTCTCACTCCAATCCATCAACAACCTCCCCAAGATCTGGTTTCTTGATTTCAGCAGCAGAAGAGATATGATTATGATTATGAACATGTGTTGATTACTTGATTAGCAAATAACACAATTGGGGGTTTCATCTTGAACAACTTTAGAATAGTATGGTGTAGGTGGATGATTATAGTAATATGGTTGTTGCTGCTGTTGTTGATAATTGTAATAAGGATATGGCTGTTGATGATATGCAGCAGCATAAGCTAATTTCAAAGCTTCTTCATGTTTCTTCTTTTCATCTTCTTTCTTCTTATCATCTGCTTTCTTTTTATCGTCTTCTTTCTTCTTGTCACCGCCGCCGGCAGCCCCGCCGTCTTCCTTCTTCTTCTCCGGTTCCTTCGCCGGCCCAACTGAAACTATCTCCGTATGACAAATCTTCCTCAGTTTCGACACAATTGTCACTGGATCTACATCCCCTGTTACAGTCAGTTTCTTGTCTTTCATGTCCATTGCTATCGAATCCACCCCTGTTATCATTTTCAACAAATCATATCAAAGTCTGAATCTTTATCACGAATTACGACATGGGTGTGCTTCGGATTTACAAATTATGACATACCTGAGAGACTGGAGACGTTTTTCATAGCCTTTTGTTTGGTTTTCTCATCCAAGAAGTCCAATTTCAACACAACTTTCTGCAATAAATTCAAGAAACACCCAAAATTCTATCACAATTTTGATATCGAAAGCGATTCATGATGTTTGGAAAAGAAAAAACTCATAAACATACCTTCATGTTGGTTTTTTTGTATTGGAATGGAAGGATCTGTGTGAGAATCCAAGAAAAAGTTGCAGACTTTGAAGCTTCAAAAAGAGAAGAAGAATATGCTTATGAAAACTATGTGGGTGAGAAGTGAGAAGTATATAAAGAATGGCGAGTTGGGTTTTGTGGAAGCGAGTCAAGCCAGGTCAAGTGAACCATAGGAGTGAACGTGGGCTGAGTCTACGGGTCAACTTTTTTGATTAGTATTTATTTTTTGAGTCAAGATTGTCAAGAGTGGTGGTTGGTGGGGTCGGAAGTTTGAAGTTAAGTGAATAGACGACGCGTATGATAAGCTATTCACTCCGGTACGGCGGAGAAAGCAAGCCGACGGTGTTGACGACGTGACGGATGACATGAACCTTCCTGGAAGAAGCAACAATAATTGAATTTTGGCCTTTTGTCGATGACTACTAACGCCCGTAATCGGCTTTTCACCACCGTGGTTTTAGTTTAGGGCCGGAAATCGGAAGGTTGTGATTGGATTGGGCCATATGTTGGCCCACGAAGTTTGCACGTGTCCAGTGCAGTTGATGAGAAAAAATTATAATTGTCTGTGTTTACGTAGATGATCGTTAATTTTTAATCAATCATTTTGGGTTATAATCACTAAATATTATTAAAAGAGAACATTCTATTCTAAATTGAAGAAATCATGACCATTGATTGCATTTCAATACTATATTTTCCACCATTGGATTATTTGCTGACATCATCTTTGTCAACTCTTTTATTTTTGTCCACAAATTTTATAAAACATATATTACGTTTTAAATTAAGAAGTCTATTGATGACAATTAAATCTCACCAAAAATAAAATGAATTAAATTAGGAATTCTATTAATAACAATTAAATCTCACTAAAAATAAAATAAATAAAATTAGGAATTCTATTAATGACGATTAAATCTCATCAAAAATAAAATGAAAAAATGTCCCGCCCCATCCCTCATTACCAATACCCCTACCCTCAATCCCTTTTTTCTTTACATAATTTATCTAACCTAAGCTTTGTAGAGGGGAGGAAAATGGGGAAAGAAGAAGTAGAATATATGTGGGCTTCAATCTGTGTAGACTAGTCTTGTGTTCGATCATCATGAAAGAAGGGGGAATGATATAGAGATAAATTTCTTTGGATTCTAATTTAATTTGGTCGTAGTTTAGATCGATTTTGAGTACGTTTTAGATTATGTTTCTTTTATTCTGTTTCAACTATGCAGTTCCAATCTATAAAATCTTTCGATTTAAGTTTAAATCCATAATTGTTACATTTTCTGAATTTGCTTCGATTTTTGTTCTTATGATCTGTATTGTTGATTTTGATTTTTTAAGTTATAGATATCTGGAGAGCAAAATGATGGACACAGCAGCACCGCTACCTCTCATCCATTGTTTCGATTTGGAAGATATGTCCACTAGGTAGTGAATTTGTATATGTCGATTTTCTTTTTTATTTCTACATTTTTGTATATTCATTTAGTCAATGATTTTTTGTGGCTTACCAGGTCGTGAATGGAAGATATACTCGAGTCAATATCTATAATGCTTTACCCATCCCTTCCTGGATTTGGAGATGGAATTTAAACCCTTATACCATTGAGTGATCCACATATTCTACAATTCAGCAAAACCCAGTAGTGATATGTGTTTTAATTTATTGTAAAAAACATCTTTAAAAATACAAATTGGGCTCTCAGAAATAAGTTATTCACTTATCCTTTTTTAATATTATAAAAAACATCTTTTAGACTCAATAGCAAAGAAAAGACAAAGTTTTAGTATACCATGTAAACAGATTACATCGATAAATCTTATTGGAAAATGTTTGGGATTGATTAATTTTGGTTAATTAGCAGGGTTTTTTTTTGTTAACTTGTGTTGTCAGGGCATGCCGAGAAGCATAGTAAGAACCTTGCACAACCTTATTCTTTCGTTTAACTGGATTGAATCTTCTTATTGAGTTTACTTTTTCAATGATAAATGGGTACACCCTACACTCTTGAAAATAGGGTTGGTAACATTGTGAGTATCAAGGTTTTCTCAGCAATAAGAGAAGATATGTGTATAAAAGTTGCAATATAAACCACTTTTAATTACATAATAATAACTAAACAAAGATATGTGAAGGATTATCTTTATAATTTAAATTGCAATATATAACATAAAAATTGTATGAAATTTTCATTGTTCCATTCCATGCCTCACAAACATGTTTATGGAATGGGATTACTTATTCTATTATTTTGCTTTTACGATTACCTATCCATTCCATTTCTTTGTTGTTCCATTCTTTGTAACCTCACATATCTCAAAAAAGGAATTCAGAAATCCATCATACAATAGAAACTGTTTTATAAACTCCTATAAGGGAAGAAGAAAGATAAGACTAAATGAGTGTATGGTGTTAATCTAATTATGATGTTCTTTCGTCTCTATTTGCTTGTTTCTAGCTTGTTTGTAGTATTGTCTATAAAATATTGTTGTTATATTTGAAAGTTCATTTTACCATTTTCATCTTTTTGTGTGTATATTTTAATCTTTCAGGTTTTTTAAAGTATTTGAAGGACCGTTTCTGCTTGGGAGTGGGGTGAAGTCAAGGGCCCTAAAACTAGAGGGTAGTTGTATTTAGAGCCACTTAAATATTGAAGATTTTTGTTGGCATTAATTTCAATAATCATATATACCCTAGAAGAGATATCATAACCATAGTTTATTTTTATAATGTTTTTTTGTATATTTATTAAATGTTGTACAGGTGATGTCTACAAGGTGTTGGTATTTTTTTTGTTGGCAAGTTATTACGCTATCTAACACCCCAATAATCTATAATATTTGTATAAGATGGTGACAATTATTATTTTTTATTACAGCTTCTCTTCATATTGATTATCCAATGTGGTTTGAGTTCTGGAATGCTTCCACTGAGAGGATTCCACATTGTGGGGCGTTGGAATTAATTACAGAATGAGGCATGATTTATATGTCTTTTTGGGTATTGATGGAAATGTTTAATTCTTGCTCATATAGATCGATAAGTATAAATTTAAATGTTAATTAGTAGGTCATTAATATGACAATTTTCTAGGGAAAATTTGTTTTTAGTATTGAAATTTGCAAAAAAAAAAAGTTCATTAACAGCATTGTACTTTTAAAAAAAATTATTTTTGGAATATTTTTAGATGATATTGAAACGTTTCATGTTTTCCAACATTGAAGCTCATTTGTAGGATAGTGCTCTGGAAGCGAATTTCATTAATAGCGTTGAACTTTGCAAAAAAAATCATTAATAGCATCGTACTTTTAAAAAACAACTTTTTTTGGAATTCTTTAACTGCAGGTAGATTCCTTGAATGCCTACCTTGATGAACATATGTGGAGAAATCTTTTTGGAAAAGGATAAAATACTGATATGACAACCCAAACAAGAAAAAGAAAAACTCAGTTTTGACTAACCCAATTTATTCAAAATCTTTATTCATTTTAGTAGCTTACACACCATTTAGATGCTCTCAAAATAGCATATGAAATAACTTCGAGATGTAATGAAGCTAAAATGTTATTTGACATGTTTTGTACTTTCTAATGATCATTACCAGTAAACATTTGAAAGATTTTTTTACCATAAAGAATGTGATCAATATACAAAACAATGTTGCATATTCAGAACCTAATGTTCTTAAGTTACTGTAATAAGGTCTTCCTGTAATAGTTGATTGGCCCTACCCAACTATCCCATGCAAGTTAATGGATTTATGTTGTTCTAAATGTGTTAAAATGCTTCACTTAGGTGTTACTCAGCACATGGTCTGCAGACTATCCACATTGATTTCATGATTGAGAAGAACACGTCACATCGACCAAGATCAGACCATCAACCATATTAGTGACCCCCACTGAGATTAGCAATGTAATTTGAGTAATCATCCAAAACAGACAATGAACTTTGAACTGTAGTAAATCTAAAATCAATTCCTAAATTGTACATCAAACTTCCAACGTTAAACCTTGAACATTTTCAATTAATGTTATTGAGTTGATATGCATTTGATTATTTAGGTATATCATAAATTGTTTAGCTTCCCCTGTTGAATTATGGCGTAAATGTAAAGTTTTACGTTTAACCGTAAACATGAGACTTTAGTTTGGTTGTCTAACTAATGAAATGGATGAGACAAAAGCATTTGATGAGTGGATTCTTAAAATTAGTGAAGGTAATACTGGTGGCCCTAATGATGGTGAAGTTGAAGTTGAATTTCCAGAAGACGTTGTTGTTCGCTCTACAGGTGACCATATTCATTCAATTGTATCCACCATTTATCCATCATTTGAAAACCATCTTGATGATCCATCATATTTTCAAGATAAAGCTATTTTGGTACCTACAAATAAAGAATTCGATGCTACCAATGACTACATTTTAGGATTGATGAAAGATGAAGGGAAAACATATATGAGTTCAAACTCTTTATGTGAGATAGAGTTACCAGATTTTTTTGAGGAATCAATCTACTCTTCAGTTGTGTTGAATGGTTTTAAGGCGTCTAGAATTTTCAACCATAAACTTACACTAAAAATAGGTGTTCCAGTCATGTTACTTCGTAATATCGAACAAACCAAAGGACTATGCAATGATACTAGGTTACATATTGTTAGGATTGGAAGACACGTCATTGAAGCATGAATCATATATGCTAGATTCTTCAACGAGACTACTTATATACCTTGCATGAAGTTAACTCCGTCTAATAAAAGAATCTCATTCCGTTTTTAGCGGAGACAATTCCCCATAGTTGTTTATTTTGTCATGGCCATTAACAAAAGTCAATGACAATAATTATCAAATGTTGGATTATACTTGCGTAGACTCGTCTTCACTCATTGTTAGTTATATGTGTTTTGTTTCTCGTGTCACAAGTGAAAAAGGATTGAAAGTACTCATATATGACGAGGAATGTCGTCCAACTAATAAAACAAAAAGTTATGTTTACAAAGGGATATTCAGGTGTTTCATTGTTTTTTTTTTTCAGACATTTCAATGTTACCAATAATACTAAATCTGTTTTTGTTACTTTATTTTTTTATAGTGCCAACTTTTTTATACCTTTATATGTATATTTTT